TTTCCACTAAAGAAAATTTTCCACGGACAGAAAAGTTTCCGAAAATATCATTGCTTAAAAGTTGAAAATTTTAATTTCAAAATTTTTTCGGACGGAAAATTTGTGTCGATCGATCACATTTTACAAAATCTTCTTTCCGCGGAAAATATTCCTGAGTGGAAATGGGTCTTAATATTTCAAATCCGCTATGAGGACTGGACTAGATTTCAAGACCGCGCAATTTGATCAAGTCCGAGGCAAACCGAGGACTGGATCAAAATTCGAGGACTTGAAATCTAGTCCAGTCCAAATTGGAGGATCTCATACGAATAAATCACTACTTAATGTGAAGTGAATTAATTTTGATTCAGTCCAACTGAATTAATTTGGATCCAGTCCTAGGATCAATATACTTCATCAGGTATCCAATATTATCATGTGAGCAAAATAAAGCAATATGGTTGGCTAATTTATCATGAATTATTAATACGTTTGAGGTTGTTTTGTAATGTTGGCTGATGTTGGACGATATTGGATCAGGTTCAAAATTTTCATCCACCATTGCTAGAATGGTTTCGATGGCCTTAACGCCTGTCCCTACCCAATTCACTTCACAACTTTGGATAATTTACACACCTAGTTACTTTTGTTATAATTTACGAAAGAATAGAACAGAACAGAATAGAACAGAATAGAATGAAAAATAGAATAGAATAGAATAGAATAGAATGAAAAATAGAACAGAACAGAACAGAACAGAATAGAATGAAAAATAGAACAGGAGAGAACAGAACAGAACAGAACAGAACAGAATAGAATAGAATGAAAAATAGAACAGAACAGAACAGAATAGAATGAAAACTAGAACAGAATAGAACAGAATACAATAGAACAGAATAGAATGAAAAATAGAACAGAATAGAATAGAATAGAATGAAAAATAGAACAGAATAGAATAGAATAGAATATAGAATAAAAATAGAATGAGAATAGGGAGGAAAATATTGGAGTAAAATAGAATATGGACTAGAATAAACTAGAATGGAATAGAGTAGAATCAAGGTAGAATGAGAGTAGAAATGGATTGAATAGAATAGAAAAGAAGAGAATAAAATGGAATAGAGATAGTTGAAAAACAGAATAGAATAAAACAGGAATAGAAAAGAACAGAAATGAACAGAATATGGATAAAAAATAGACTGGAATACGATAGAATGGAATATAATGAAATGGAATAGAATGCAATAGAATGGAAAACAATGAAATGGAATACGATAGAATGGAATGGAATACGATAGATCTAGAATGGAATACGATAGAAAGTAAAAACGATAGAATGCAATGGAATATAATGGAATACGATAGAATGGAATGGAGTAAAATAAAATAGATTGTAATAGAATAAAATATATAGTTTTGAATAAAATATAATAAATTGGAATAGAAAAGAAATTGAATGATATAAGCTAAAGTTACAGCAAGGTATAAGTAGGTACCTTGAAGATCATTAATCATTATGATGATTAATCATGATGACGTTACATATAATACTATTATAATTAAAATCAGATTATTAATTGTGAAATTAATGTGCCAAAATGCGATTATATACCTTAAGTCTCTGCAAGTCTTTGAGGACCTCACGGTTGGATATGAATATAATGCAAGGTGATCACGAAGACGTTTAAGAGCCATCTGCAGGAGTCAATCTAGAAAAAAAACAAAAATGTTAAACCAATTCTTGAAACAGAAATAGGAGGGTCTTATTTCAAACAAATGATTTAAACTCTGCTCCGAACATTCTACAGCTGTGTTGTCGGTAATGACTCTATAGTATTATTTTCCTTTGTTAATGGTCCTAAAAATTAAGTTGGAACACTCTGACTATGCCATCGCCCAAAGATGAGTAGGGATAAATATATTAATAAATAAATAAATAAATAAATAAATACATTAAATATATTAATAAATAAATAAACAAACAAAAAATATAAAAAATTAAAATAATTCTCTGAATCCGGGTTGAATCAATTGATGTTGACATTTATTAATACAGCGTTTAATGGTTGCCTTTAAGGCATGTCTACGGATTCCGAATAATTGCAAATATGGTTCGGCGAACATAAATGTGCAGACACAATGTTCCAATTAGACTTTAGACATAAACATGTCTCGAAATTTATTTATTGCTCAAAGCTTCTCAAAGCAAAATCGTGTCAGGAACTGTTTGACCGAGTGACGACATATCGCCCACAGGGCACCTGTGGGTGTTGGAGAATTCAGAACACGAAATAACTCGCGTTACCAGCATTCCAATAGACTTGCCGAGATCAAGGAAATTCTCACGAAAATTAAATTGACTGCTGTTATGCCTGCGTGATCATGTGAATATCAGTCACATACATCACTATGACATTCTGAGACTCATTAGGGGATGTCTGTATGTTCTTGGCGTCCCATGTGTCGCAATGGTTGATTCCAGCAATCCAGCTATAGACTAAATTTTGATCTAGGCACGAAAAACAAAATCCATCACCACAGATAGAAAGAGCATGTTACAATTAGTAAAATTGCAAAGTTTGGTTGAGAAATGTTGTAAAATGAGGAAAACATAGCCCTGCGAAAAGTGCAAATTTTGTATTACGCACGGGAAAATGCACAACTAATACAAAATTAATACAAAATTTGCAAATTTCGCAGGGCTATATTTTCCGCAGTTACAACATTTCGCGGCCAAACTTTGCAATTTTACTAATTTTAACATGCTCTTTCTAGCTGTGGTGATGGATTTTGTTCTTCTTGCCTAGATCAAAATTTAGTCTATATAGCTGGAATCGTCGGATTGCTTTCGCTTATACTACCAGAAGAGGAGCCTTCCAAGGCGATCTATACTGTATATGATTTCGTTTCGGTATATCGTTGTTTCTGGTCACTGTTTACACGAGACCTAAGCTCACAGGAGCGAGCCGTTCTTTCTGTTGGTCAGACCAAACAAGCCGGACCGCAACGTATTCGAAGAAGAGTGAATTTAAATACAAAATATTTTCAGACGCAAATCCAAAGGAAACTAAAGTTGATTCCCGGAGCCGTAAAATTTGGACTGGTTTTCATGTAGCATACAGCCAATTCACAAAAGTTGTCCTTCAAAATCATTAAACCTTAAACTCATTGAGCGCGCAAGGTATGATGGGTAACTTCCTATTTAGGGTCTTAAACACGGGGAATTTTCTTGTCAACAATGCTATAGGGCATATATAATGAGTACTTTCGATATAGGGCTATTTGGTTCACCGTTCGATTCTTGGTGGCTCCAAATAAGCAATACCCATCATACCTTGCGCGCTCAATGTTCAAGGTTTAAGATTTTTGAAGAACAAACCTATTTTGAATTGGCGTATACAGCTATTTCAATTAAGGTTGTCCACGAGCAAAGCGGAAAAGTCAAATACGAGCGCGAAAGGCTCCTGGGAATCGCTAACAAATTAATGAATTTTCAAAGCAATTCCCAGCAGCCTTTCGCGCTCGTATTCGACTTTTCCACTTTGCTCGTGGACAACCTTAATTGAAATAGCTGTATATACTGTAATTTGTGGTAAATCGTGTTTGAACACTGTTTTGGGTAATGTCGGTGGATGTTGGGTTGAGTTTGATTTTGTTGACAAACCGGTATGTTGGATGTGGTGGATTCGTTTGAACTGGGGCTTAACCAGAATAACCGTAACACGCGCGCTCAAAACTAATGAAGATACTTTTCCATTTTCCTTTGGTTTTGACTATACACTAGTATACAGGGTGTATAAAAAAAAATGAACAGATTTAAAATTGCTCTCAATTTCGCAAAACAGCTATTTGTATCCGGTTTTTTATATATATAGCTTCTTTGGGTACTTATAATGTAGAATAATGAGAAAAATTTCTCGAACTCAAATTTTGTGAACCAGGGGGGGGGGAGTGTCTTTTCCAACAAAATCAGTAAAAATGGCTCGCGCACAAAATTTAAAAGCTGCAATCATATTCTGAGTTAACAGATGGAACATTTGTCGGGATTTTAATTACTGTACAAAATTTCAGACAATTTGGTTTAGTTTAAGCCCCTTAACTATTCACGCAAAGTTACAATTTTACCGAAAAATCAGCTGTTTGCATGCTTAATTAATGCATTTGCCTAATTTGCATATGTCAGCAATATGCAAATTAGGTAAAGGCATTAATTAAGCATGCGAAAGGCTGACTTTTTAGAACAAAATGAATTGTCTGAAATTTTGTACAGTAATTGACCATTTGCGTAATAGACTAAATTTAGATCTAGACAAAAATTTCATCACAGCTTGAAAGAGCATCACAAAATTAGTAATATTCCAAAGTTTCGTTGCAAAATGTTGTAAAATGCGGATAATATAGCCTTGCGAAGTTTGCAATTTTCAGTCATTTTAGATTACAAAGGGGAAATTGACAGCCCGATACGCTTTGAGGCTGTCAATTTCCCGTTTGTAATCTAAAATGACTGAAAATTGCAAACTTCGCAAGGCTATATTTTCCGCATTTTACAACATTTTGCAACGAAACTTTGGAATATTACTCATTTTGTGATGCTCTTTCAAGCTGTGATGAAATTTTTGTCTAGACTTGTTTAGATCAAAATTTAGTCTATTACGCAAATGGTCAATTAAAAACCCGACAAATTTTCTGTTAACTCAAAATATGATTACAGCCTTAAAATTTTGTGCGCGAGCCATTTTTAGTTTGTTGGAAAAGACACCCCCCCCTGCGGGGCCCTGGTTCACAAAATTTGAGTTCGAGAAATTTTTTCATTATTTTACATTATAAGTACACAAAGAAGCTATATATATAAAAAACCAGATACGAATAGGTGTTTTGCGAAATTGAGAGCAATTTCAAATCTGTTCAGTTTTTTTGACAATATTTAACTATTATTTTGTGTTTCTCAACCGCCAGATACATTTACAAAGGTTGCCAACGGTCTACACTACCAAATAAAGCGAATACAAAGTAATTTTGAGAGGAACGCCAAAAAGATTTTAGGTTTTGAACACTTTTAATCGCAAATACGCAGCATTGAAAAACATTGCCTCTTAATACTATACTATATAGTCTATACTCACTTTCAACTTTCTTCGTTTAAAGCAAAAATTTGAGACTGCCAAATGGTCATTCTATCGTTGTTATACTGATGTGATCTTTTCCTACAATACTGTATACAGTACAGCTTCATTTTCCACGGCATTGAATAAGCGACAAAGTTTGCCGAGAGGAACCCCGCGTGCAAGCATGATTTGAAGTACAAAGTAAATTAGCAAGTCAAAAACAGGGCATGCATTCGAAGAATAATAGACGAATTTCAAACAATCCCACGAGGCTTTAACACAAAGGCAGATGAAGGCAGAAAATGAATTTTAATGAGACTCTTTTGTTTAAATACCTTCGGTATACTGTATGCATTGCATTCGATATTGGGTATTATACAATTACTTTATGTTTCCGTGTTTGGATGGCCTGATCCAAACACGCGGGAATGTTGCGAGAGTTAAGAAAAGCGCGCGAAACACGAGCCGAGGGCGAGTGATTTTGCGCGCTTTTCTTAACTCGAGCAAACATTCCCAAGTGTTTGGATCAGGCCATCCAAACACGGAAACCATAAAGTAATTGTTTTATAAAATAATAACAACACGATAGTCTTCCGTGTTTGGATGGCCTGATCCAAACACGGGTTTCGACCAATCAGAGCACGCGTTATATACATGTTGTTTTATAATGTTAGTTACTGTTTGGTGTTAACCCAACCGTGTTCTGTGAACAAAGGCGGAAAGACAGCTCAAAATAAAATTATTTTTCCTTTCTGCAAAGCCCAAACGAAAAATGTTCTTTTCGGTATTTTCGTTTATTTTTAACTCATTCGTACAAATCAGGTTCGTGCAAACAAACTATTCGCTTTAGTCCACAGAATTTCATAAAATTATTCTAGAAGTATTTGCATTTTAAAGTATTTGCACTTTAAAAATATTACAAACTGCAACCATTCCTCACTTTAAAATATTACACACTGCAACCATTCCTCGTATAGTTCGCTGCTTTAATATAGGTTTTATGCATTTTGAACTTTTTGTCAATCTTTGGATTTCAATCGTGTGGCCGGGGCATTTTCAGAGCTGAGCGCCCTTATAATTCGACCAGCATTTTTGCTATTGTACAAGTTTTGCATCATAAATTGCTTATCTGTTTGCCAATTGCAACTGGGTGATTTTCTGCACAATCCATCCTCTGGTGTTCCTTCAACAATCACGAATCTTGTTTTACGCTCTATTAAAGAAATTGATACTGCATATACACTAATTATACTCAATTTTTCAAAGATTGTTTCGCATCGCAAATTCACAGTTACACATGCAAGACAATGAACCAGGAATCGAATCCAGATCACAGAAACAGAAGCCACATGCACTAAAACCGGTTACAGACGAGCCAGTTTTCCATGACAATTTTTCATCTGAAAAATGTTATTCAGTGTTAGACTGATTATAGTCAACTATGCCAAGCTAGTAAGCTAGCTTTTGAACAAGAAGATTACTTACAGTATCATATCACATCGTAGGCCAAAAAAAAATGTGGGTTTCCGATTTCCCGACCCTATCTAGCTTTTGGACGCCGAAATCCCGATCCTAAACTTTTTATTGGATCATGCTTGTAAGTGTTTCCACTTAGAGGAAAACGTTTGTGAAAAATGGAAATTTAAGGCAATATTAGGGACATTTATCTTTGAGTGTGGAAGCACTGACTAAACAAAATGGCGTCCGGTTGTTAGGAAAATTAAAAAAAAAGAAAAAAAAAAAGTTAAAACCGACCTACCCTACCTAAGTTTTTACAAGAAGAAATAGGAAACCCACATATATTTTTTTGCCTTATCGGTATCTCGTTTGTATATGGGTCAACAAAGAAGATTTGACAAAGTAATTTGAGGACTTAGATGCATGTGGTTGCACATGCAGCGATATAATATATCGAACAATATTATTGTTCTAGCCGCTAGTGTGGTAGTCAGAAAACCAAAAACTTGTCATAGAAAATGTGTACGTAATGCCGTGCAATTGGCAACTTGCCTCATTCCAGAAAACTTGCTCGTCTGTGAACAGCTTGAGACACCAACACCCCAACAGCATTTGCAGTGCCGGATTTATAACCATATATGGCAGTTGAATGGTTATGCTGATAATATTCAAAGACATAACCATCCAAGTTGAATGATTATGCTGATAATATTCAAAGACATAACCATCCAAATTGAATGGTTATGCTGATAATATTCAAAGACATAACCATCCAAGTTGAATAGTTATGCTGATAATATTCAAAGTATATTTCTATTTTTGTAAATACACGGGCAACTTTTTAATTCATGAAATACAAAAGGATTTTTGAATCTTTCTGAATTCAGTGTTTAAAATGTCGTTGGGGGGAGGGAGTCAAGGGGGCCCGCGCTGATAATAGGGAGTTTACGATCTACGACGCGGCCGGCTCAACGACGCGGTCTAAATTTCAGCTCAAGAATGAGCGGTAAGCAATTTGGTTACTGTAAAAAATATTTCACGCTTTTTCAAATAACCTTACAAACTGCTACGTTCGGCTGAAGCGATGCAATGTTTGCTGTAATTTCGACTTTAAGTAACACCTCTTGGGTCGCAATAAGCTTTCACGTTGACTGAAAGACGTGATAATGCTTGTTTAACGTTGTGTTGAGAATGACAACGCGGTTGACAATACTCCTGGGACCACGAATTATTGACACTTTTTGTCTTGCATGACAAATTTCTTTGTAAGTTCTTTGTAGGTTTGCATGGCAATAAAACATAAAATACTATTGTTTGTGGAAACACCAATTTTTTTTGTTTTGAAAGCGTGTCATCGAGCCGGCCGCGTCGTAGATCGTAAACTCCCTATTATGCCACCGGCCCCGCGAAACGTTTAATCCGGCCCTGAGCATTTGTAACAGTACCTGTGTAGATTGACCAAATAATCTCCGACCAAACAGACCTCCCCATTGTCCACCTTGTTCTTTCTGCTTTTGACTTAATATTTCTTGTTGTTCACGAAGTCTCGCTTGGTTACGTTTGAATGCTTCGATGACATCATCTTCACTACGATAGTAATCTAGCACCGTTCGTACATCTTCCACGTTTGACGTCGCGATAGCTAGGAAAGATAGTTGAAGTATTTTAGGTCTGGATTTTCTAAAGGGTGTTGGGCATGCACACACTCCATCAAAACGCAGACCAAGCCAGCAACCACCAACGCACCCTGAAATTTTCATAATTTACATGGCCACCATCATCACCTTTACCATCATCACCACTATCATCAGCACCATCCACCTCGCTCACCATACTCAACAGTCATTACCATCACCATCACAATCATCATTACCACCATCACCATTATCATCATCCTTGCCACCATCATCATCACAATCATCACTGTCATCATCACTAACAAACAAGTAACAGCGACAACAACCGCAACAACAACAACAACCGCAACAACAACAACAACAACAACAACAACAACAACAACAACAACAACAACAACAACAACAACAACAACAACAACAACAACAACAACAACAACAACAACAACAACATCATCACAATCATCACAACAACAACAACAACAACATCACAATCATAACAACAACAACAACAACGACAACGACAACGACAACACAATCAGCACAATCATCAGAACAACAAGAACAACAACAACAACAGCAACAACAACAACAACATCACAATCATCACAACAACAACAACAACGACAACGACAACGACAGCGACAACGACAGCGACAACAACAACAACAACAACGACAACGACAACAACGACAACGACAACGACAACGACAACAACGACAACGACAACAACAACAAATAAGAATACTTACCAAGTAAAAGCGGGGTTAGATCAAACAGAGTTCTGTCAGAAGGATCTCCTTCCCATTTCTTCAAGACAATTGTATTTCTTTCATACCCAGTGGTAGCCTTCGCATCACAGTCAATCATGATCACTTTAGATAGATCTCGATTCAAGCTTCCCAAGTCCTGAAAGTAAAAAAATACAACATTAGGTCTTCTGAAATTGGCACAATACTCAGTACAGTATACATAATAACAGTGCCATCCAAAAACAATCCATTGTTTCGAAAATCCCACTGTATGCCATCCAGTCATGCAAAGCACTTAAGATATTCCAGCTGCAGTAATGCACGTCCAAAAAACACTATATTCTGGTGCTTCTTTGTTTTCAGTCACGTACCACGTAGGTACGCAGTATACTCTTGCTATCTGCGTATTTAACTTTTTGCTTGTACCATTTGACCTTTCCAAGCCCAACGTATTCAACAACGTAACTAAGTTGGTATATGTGTAAGTCTGACATGTCGTGGCATGAAACATGATTGTACTGATGGGACTAAGGAATGTTAGAGTCGATTGTTTGTACATGCAAGTGTGCTTCTTTTTCTCTAACTGGTAGTTTGAATACCTTTCAGAGACTCGTATTTTATGTACAGGTACTTTAATTTAAAGAGCAGGTACACATTGAGTATTGAGTTTCAGGGCTTTCAGAATTATTCTGAGTAGGTGTCTGTTTTGATAAAGTAGGCGGCTGTTGGGAGGGGGCGGACTAGGGGGTCTTAAAGTCATGTAAATTAACTAGTGTAAATTGATTGGATAGCAACACAACTGAGCTCTGTAACCAAATCATAATGTATCACTACTTTCATTCTTCAACAAGGTAACTTCAAGATTTAAGATAGCAAATAACTAAATCGGTTTTACGAAATAGTACGTCGTTTTCGAAAATAACTAGGCTATAAAGTAGATCAGGTTGAGGAAAAATAACTTCGTTTGAAAGCTTAGAGTGGAGGGAGAGCAGAATTGATATTTCAAGTACTAAACAAAGTAACCGGCGGTAAACCTCGTAGAACCTGCCGGAGCTCCGACGGTGGCCGGCTTATTTTGAAAGCCCCGAGTACAGTTTGTACCAGCGCAAGTACACGGCAGTAATCATTGGCGTACCAGCCAGGTGCTACTATAAAAATCTTGAATTATCGCACACTGAATATGTTCAAGTTCAGAACAGTGGCTGTGGACAAAACGTTACTCACTTTGACATGTGTACCATTCGTGTACTTTGTGGCATCGCGAAACAATCGATACGTAACAAATCCATTTGGATCAAGTCCTTCCAAAATTGGCATTGCTCCCTGAAAAGTTCACGATGAAACTAGTTATCTATAGGTCCTGTTTTATGGACATATTGCCCCAGACGTGGAAAAAGTATCGGAACCTGGGAACCTAGTTCCCAGAAACGTTTTGGGGATCTAAATTTTCACAGACATTTTTTGATGTTTGATAGCTAATTTTGAAAATTACACTACTTTGAATATAAATTGCATGCAGTGGAACAATTCAAAAAGAAAATATTCATATAGCGTGCAGAAGTAATTTGTTTTTACTCTAACTATTAATGCTACTTGAGGATCTATCTTGTATGCTTTTTCAGTCCTAAAGACACATTGCTTCACATGACAACACATCTTAATGAATATAATCCATGTACTGTAAGTAATAAAGGACAGTCTAAAACGATAATTTTGTTTTTTTAAAGTTTGTTCGTTCACTGCAACCAGGTATATCAATCATGTTTCGCTCGCTACTCTGGTTTAAATAAATTATTACAAAGTCCAGTCGAATTGTAATCAAGATCGAACGTTCGACACTCCAGTCTAGTGTCTTCATCAGGGGTGATCTAAAGTTTAAAAGAAGCCACGATTGTAACTTTAGATCACCCGATGAAGACACTAGACTGGAGTGTCGAAACGTTGGGTCTTGATTACAATTCGACTGGGCTTTGTAATCATTTATTTAAACCAGAGTAGCGAGCGAAACATGATAATTTTGTTATTTTTCTCTATATATCGTAATCTTTTGCAGACAATTTTGATCCCTAAACCCAGGTTCCCAGAAAGGTTCCCAGAAAAAAATTTCCACCTCTGTATTGCCCACCCCTTGCATGCAAACAAACTAAGACTTACAAATCCGTTTTCATGTGTATAGACAACGATTTCAAACAACGGAGTTTTACATTGTGAGAGAAATGCCTCGACGCCAGGTCTTTTACGGAATCTCCAACCACTTTGACGCTAAAAGAAATGAATGAGGATACTTAATCTTTAGACTTCTTTACCCATTAAGCACCAGCACTCTCCTCTTGACAAGGAAAATACTAAAGTTGGGCACATCAGGGCACAATGTGAGTCAATGGGTTAACCCATTAAGTTGCATTGCATCCTGCCATCCTACTTTGTAATTTTACTCTGCCTAATGCCAGACGATTTTGCTTGTCAAGGGGAGCGCTATTGGAAGACGGGTGGGAACTCATGTTATGCAGGATACAAAATATAATCTTACATCGTATTCAGGATGAATGAGAACATCCGTCATTTCCAAGACCAACGTGTAAGGTGGTTGGTAGTATGGTTCTGTCAGTGGCTCTGGTAGAAGTAGTTCACTGGATGGTTCTGAAAATAGCTGGAAAATTCAAATTTTTAGATAACTCGCATGCCTAGTTACCACTGTTCTGATAATGTAAGCATAGAATGGAATAAAGGTAACCAAGCATTTCAATTTATTACAGTTATACTGTAACAGTTATACTGTATATCAAGACCAGATTTTGATTTTTGCACCTGCCCTGAAAAGTCATGCACCTCCCCTTGGGAAAGTTTCAATGATAGATCAAAGTGAAAATTTGACATTTTTTGGTTGCTTAAGGTCTACACTTCATAAGAAGGTTTTTCTGTAAAATTGAAACAGTGATAGCCAATCATCTCTGTTTGAAAGACGCTTTGTAGTAATTGTAATGAAGGGCAAAAATGGATGAGTTGTACAGTCATGATTCATTAATACACTGATACACTTTGGTTATGGTTGACTTTGGCCCAGTCTAAGCCCTAACTTTCCATGGGGGTCGTGAGCTAGAACGCTGCACCTCCTAAATTTTTTTCCACCTCCCCCACTATTTCCACCAAAATCTGGCCTTGCTGTACATGTGAGTGAATTGACTGATTGTGTACTCTACCTCCCAGGTTTCTTTCAGTTTGTCTCTTGCTCTGTAAAGATAAGCCAATGGGGCAGGTTCTGAAAGATATAAACAAGCTGTTAGAATGGTCACAGCTTCATATATATATTTATTATATGGACAATGGTGTTTTACTGGAAACTAAAACACTCGTAGAACTCATACATCACTACATCCGAGGCCAGGTGCACGTATTTTCCGTATTTCACCCCTGCTAGTGACATACGAAGTTCGGAAAATTTCCCGCCATTTTCAATGTTGTTGTTTTGAAAATACAAATGGTCTTTGGTTCGTATTTAAAACAAAATTAACGTTGGAAATAAAACGAAAACATTTAAAAGACATCTTGAGATAAGTAAAATTTATTCTAGTTTTATGTTTGCAGTATAATTTTAAAAAATATCGCTTTTATACTGATCTTTCACGTGCTTATTTACATGTCGTCTTTGTGTGTATTTTTGTGACTCTGAGTAAGTCCATATAATAAACAGAACATTAAACAGTTGCGAGAAGATATGGATTTATGTTCTTGTGTCAAAAACAATAACACACTCGTGAGATATTGTTTTTGCCACTCGAACATAAAATCCACATCTCTTTGCAACCGTCTAATATCCTCTATATAATTATTCACTTCGCCTTTGGCTCAGTGAATATAGGCTTCTAAATATATCCAGCTAGATCTGATAGGTAGGTGTTCAATGAACTTTGGTCATGGTTGAGAGTCCAATTGTTGACAAAGTGTGTATAATCACTAGAGGAATCTACAGCGGCAATGCACTACATAGTCTGTAGTCTTTAGAATCTTATAATGTTCACAATCATGTGTATATTTTTTGTCTTTATTTTTGTTTTTGTAATGTAATAATAACGAAACAGACTAAGGCCTTTCTAAATCCACAAAATAGATTGATAAGGAAATTGGTACACGCCCCTTGTCAAGGCTGGGAGGTGCATACCCCCTGCATCCCTCTGAAAATCCATTCCTGAGAAATATATTTGTGCACAAAATTCAAGCCAGGATACTGCAACTACTTAAAAATACGAGCAGATAATTCTGACATTTCAAGCAATTAAAGCCCTTTACCAAACCAGTTTCCACAAAAAATTTCATGGGATAATATATTACATGAAAACTCACCATTGGCATACAGAGCAACACTCTAAGAGGGATATGAAAATATTTTAATAATTCTGTAGCAACTTCTAACAGGATAAAATTTGATACTTGCAATAATCAATACAGGAGACCTAGTCTCAATAAATTTAAAAAATACCTTTCCATCAATCCCAGTATCAGGCCAACCTAGCATTAAAACAATATTTTAATTGTCAAGTACCGGGTACTCAAAATGCAAATGATTTTACTTGTCAAGTGTCTCGTACTGCCGCCCAATGGGCCAACAGGGTGCGATAATTCGCGTACTTACGTACCAGAGGTACACCAATATTACTGTCTGGTACTTCTTTGTTTTCAGCCACGTACCATGTGGGTACGCGGAACTCTTGCTATCTGCGTACTTATTTTTTGCTGGTACAACATGACCTTTCCAAGTCCAAGGTATTCAATACCGTAATTTAGTTGGTATATCATGAGTCTGAGATGTCTTGGCATGAAAAATGATTGCACTGATGGCACTGAGAAACGTTGGAGTTGGTTGTTTGAAATGGAACAACTCCGTTTTTAAATAGCAAAACACCTTTTTCAAATAGCAAAACTCCCTTTTCAAATAGCAAAAGTCTGTTTGCTATCTCATAGTCTGAACATACTTTTCAGAAACCTGTACTTTATGAACCTTATTTTTAAAGACTAAGTACACATTGAGCACTAAGTACTGAGTTTGTTCTAGTGCACGTATGCTGCAACAACCATTGGCATACCAGTCAGGTACGACTAGAAATCTTGAATGATTGCATCCTGGCCATGCATCCTGTAAACCCTTTAAGTGAAAATGTGCCCTACTTTATTATTTTACTATGTCTAATGCCAGATGATTTTATATGTCAAGGGGAGAGTGCTGTCACTTGATGGGTAAAAAAAAAATTGATACAAGTCTTTGAACACCAACCTATGTCAACAGGTTTTGCGAGTTGGACAGTTTTCGACAAGATCTCAGAGGCACAAAAAACCCTTTAACTAATCTCTGGGGTGGCTCTGACCCAGTGTGGAAAGTTTGTATCACGCAGGGGAGATATCGCCTGTGCAACTTTCTATATTTTTACTATTAAATTTTGGAAATCCCCGCTGCACATTTTCCAAACTTTCCAGTCTGGGCTTTGACCAACTTTCTGAGGAACAAGTCACACTATCACTTTTGTTTAACTAATGGCAATCCAAGGGTCATTCCATTTAATATCCACACCACCCTGTTGACTAGGTTACTGATTTGGAAGCTGGTTAACTCGGCCCACTGACCAACTTGGCCCATGCCATATCTTGGCCCAATTGTTAACTACTGTTTGACATATTAGGAAAGCTAATATTTTACAAACAATAGAACCAAACCAATACAGCCATTTGCAGTTGTATAATTTTTGGGCATACAGATGAGTAAAGTTTGAGAACATCCAGTTTGACTTAATTTAATTAAAGAATCTATCGAAGTTTCAAATTCTGGATCTGTACGTTTTGGTACTAAATTACTGATCATTCAAATCTCTCTCAAAACTTGCAAAGATAGAATGCAGTCATGGCTCCTAGCTTGTTTAATGGTTAGATAGTCAGTTTACAAGCGGACGGAGTTGGTCTGTGAACGGTGGGCTGAGTTGGTTAGTGGGCCAATTTGATTGTAAAGCACTGATTTTAGACCCCTTCGGAAACGGTTTTCCGGAAGACCCCCTCGGAAATTCGCTATTTTTGTAGAATCCCCTTGGAAATTTACAGTTTTTCTCAAGCCCCTCGGAAATACCTGTTGACATGGTTCCATTATAATAGACCCCCTCAGAAATTTTTGGAAATTTATTCACCTCCCTCCGTCCCTCGGAAATTTTCAGAAATTCATTGACCACCCCCTCGGAAATTTTCGCCAACAGGTATACCCTTCCTCTCCCTCGGAAATAAAAAAAAAAGTTTTGACCCCTTGGAAAATGACAAAAAAATTTTGACCGCTTCACAAATTTTCCTTTTACAACCCCCCTCGGAAATTTCAACTTGGCACCCCCTCAGAAATTCAGAATTCCAGACCCCCTTCAAAAAATCTAGTCAACAGGGGGGGGGGATATCAAATGGAATGGCCCCAGTCACAAAACATGTTCATTTTAGCTTGGTATTTATTTTCGGTTGATATTTAACCTGGCAATGATGGGGCAGGGGGGAGATCTCACTAGTATACTATAAGAATTTATATAATGTGTATGCAATAATAAAACATGCAATTAATCAGAGACCACAAATAAACAACACACTCACCTAGATACACAACAATACCAGCACCACCTACCATAAAACCAACACCAACAGATAACCACGTTCTTAACGAAGGCCCTTTTCTCTCTTTTGCTTTTTCATAGTACCTTCCAACTTGCGAATATTGTGGTAAAAATCTCTTTAAAAAACTCATTCCATTAGTTCTCCAACATTGGAAAGAAAGTTGACGGATATGTGGCGAGATTAAAAGTGGTTTTGCACGAATCAAACTTGCTGCATGCTGAAAACAACATGATTTGATTTTTAGATTTAAAATTGCTCTATTGACGGCCATCTTGTTTTACCCGATTCGCATATTTAAAAGGTTTGACGCCGAATGCAAGTGGTAAAAGTGTCGCCGATTGCTCGACATGTAATGGCCGTCCGAGATTGATCCAAGGGTGGACATCTCAGTGGTATATCATTGTCTATTCTCAACCTCGTCCCCAGGGTCAGGGACGCCGGGACTGGGGGGGGGGGGCAGGAGCCCCCATTGCCCTTTACTAGGAGGGGCAAGGGGGGCAAAGGTGCCCTTTCAATTTAAAGGTTTGCCTTGGCGAAATAGCGAATTGTCAGAAATGTTAGTGCTATTCTTTTACGAATTTGCTTCAGAAAACGCAAGAAATGCAGTCATCGAGCTTCAATAATAGCACAATCGCCTGGCGGAGGACCCCCTCACACCCCTATCATCCAATAAATAGAAAACATATAAACTAGGCGAAGTTCAACTCCCGATGTTTTGTAAACATCTCTTAGTATATATCAATTTAAAAGTGCCCTTTCACGAAAATCTGCCCCCCTTGGCCTTGCCTTCACATCGTTCTGGCGTCCCTGCCCAGGGTCTTCTTCGTAACAACAGTTAGCATTGAAATAGTACCCTGTCAGTAATACCCAAATGTCAATGCACTCAAAGCCATATCAGTTTTAGATGCATGCTTATGGCTGTCCCATATAAAATCATACATTCTGATTCACAAGATAATAAGCGCCATTTGGCTTAAAATACATAGTATCATAAAATTAGTAAGTTAATTTTTTCGTGGGTAAAGCACTAGGGGAATCACTGGAATAAAGCGCGCACTAATAAAGCTTTCCAGTAAAAATATGAACCTTTTAGGTTATTAAATTCTTACACAAATATCCACGCAAATTATATTATTTTATTAAAGATTAAAGATTAAAAGTAGACAAAATATATTTTACTTATTTTGTTATACAAAAGTCATCCTAAATAATTTATACAGTATTAAATTTCGTCCCCTCGGTTGTCTTCAGTTACGGCCACTGTTTCGCAGTCTCAATTGATGGATATTGTATCAAACGTGTGCAGGAGTATACAATTAAATATCTGGGTATTATTATGGATGAAACCCTTTCGTGGAACGCCATGTGAAATTCCTTGTGAGTAAAACTGGGAAACGATTGGGACTATTAAATCGATTCGAAAGGATATTACTATGAATACAGCTAATGTAATATGCAAGTCATTCATTTTAAGCCCGGCTCGGACAAGCCATGAGATTCAATGTCCATAACGGCGAGGGCCCTTACTCTCACCCTGATGTTGTTTCTCCAGCTTTTCTGGGGGCCCTTACTCCCAAGAAACCGCACTTTCCGTCACCCAATTTGGCCACAAAGGTTTGCGTGATTTATTAACTGACTATTGTAGTACTGTATGAAACTGTTGTAGCAAAGTGAATACCGCTGATGTGATTGAAAAACTGCAAAGGAGAGCTGCTCGCATAATAATAAAGTCCTCTACGGGCCTACGGCTCTAGTAGTGATGAGGCATCAGATCAACTTAGATACGATACCCTGGAAAACTGACGTGAGAAACATACCCTGAAGTTAGTTAGAAAATGCACCACAGTTTTTTACATGTACCACAGTTTTTTACCAATTATTTTAATTTTAATAGAGATCTAGTTAAGCGGGTTACTAGACAGAGTGGTCTACTTCACCTGCCGAGTGTTAGGTTAGAATCAGTCTAAAAAGCATTTTATTATCGCCTTTGTAGGCTATATCAGATAAAGATCGGCTGCTTGTGTTTTAACTAGTACTTAATACTATTTCGTTCATTTGTTGTAATTTTTAATACTTAGTTCATATTGTATATGTAGGGCTCCTAATGATAACAGTCAACATTCATTTGTAATTGATTGGATTACCCTATTTAAATAAAAGTTTCTATCTATCTATAATTGCACTTCGTGCGACTTATGATTTACATTAATAACAAAATTTCAATTATTGGTATCTTCAGAGGTGGGAAAAGTATCGGAACCTGGGAACCAAGTTCCCAGAAAATTTTCGAGATCTACATTTTTGCAGAAATTTTCACAGACATTTTTTATGTTTGATAACTTATTCTGGAAATTAGACTATAAGACAGTCACAAACAACAATTTTGTATTAAATACTTTCCTCTATTTATTGTGATCTTTTGCAGAAAATTTGGAGACCTAAACCCAGGTTGCAAGAAAGCAAAATACATTTTCCACCTCTGGCTATATTTTGTAAATTAGTAAATATACTACAGTTTCATAGTAGTCACATTACGAATCATCAGTAAATGCCATTCCTTATTTAAATATACTTCGTAATCTAGAGTGTTGTCAACATTCGTAATCTAGAGTGTTCTTAATATCGATCACCGATCAATATAGTCATTGATTTAATTCCCATTCCTTAATATACTTCGTAATATAGAGTATTGTCAATTTAATTGATTATTGATGGACCAATACCATTTCTTAACATCGATCACAGATCAATATATTCATTGATTGCATTCTCATTCCTTAACATACTTCGCAATCTAGAGTATTGTCAATTTCATTGATTATTGATGGAACAATACCATTTTTATATATTCATCGATTTTATTCCCATTCCTTAATATTAAAGTTACTTCGTAATCTAGAGTGTTATCAATTTCATTGATTTTGGATCAATATCATTTCTTAATATCGATCACCGATCAATATATTCATTGGTTTCATTCCCATTCCTTAACATACTTCGTAATCTAGAGTGTTGTCAATTTCATTGATTATGGACCAATACCATTTCTTAATACGATCACCGATCAATATATTCATTGATTTCATTCCCATTCCTCAACATACTTCGTAATCTAAAGTGTTGTCAATTTCATTGATTATTGATGGACCAATACCATTTCTTAATATCGATCACCGATCAATATATTCATTGATTTCATTCCCATTCCTTAATATACTTCGTAATATAGAGAATTGTCAATTTAATTGATTATTGATGGACCAATACCATTTCTATATATTCATTGACTTCAATCCCATTCCTTAATATTAAAGTAACTTCGTAATCTAGAGTGTTGTCAATTTCATTGATTATGGACCAATACCATTTCCTAATATCGATCACCAATCAATATATTCATTGATTTCATTCCCATTCCTTAATTGATATACTTCGTAATCTAGAGTACTGTCAATTTCATTGATTATTGATAGACCAATACCATTTCTATATATTCATTGATTTCACTCCCATTCCTAATCTAGAGTGTTGTCAATTTCATTGATTATGGACCAATACCATTTCTTAATATCGATTACTGTTCAATATATTAATTGATTTCATTCCCATTCCTTACTATTAAAGTAACTGTCGCCAACGTTGCTGCGTTTACTGGAAACGCTCGAACAACAGCGGTAGTAAGCCCTCTGAAGAAAATAGGCACTCCGCCCGAATTATATGTCTGCCGTAGACAATCAACCAATCCTGTGTATTTTCCATTGATGTCAGCTTGGAAACGAGACTTGACCACGTCCACATGGTATGTAGAAACCCATGAAATAGAGCCTGTCACCCCTCCAGCAAGTAATAAATGCAACAACCCCAAATGATGTACGCTCTCGTGTGATTTTGCCATCCAGGAGCAGAGTTCGTGGTAGACTGCAAAATAGACACCCATTGCCGGACCTTCTCTTAGAGCAGTTGCGATGAACCCGCGATATATTCCTCTGAACCCCCCGCTTTTGAAAATTTTCTTAATGCAGTCCCAAGATCCGCTAAACCGTAGCATTTCGTCTGGCGTATGGCGGATTACGTGTTTGTATCTCATCCCCTGGCCTTGCAGTTGCATTTGAGTTTTGACGAGCTCCATGGGCGATACTACGATGGATTGAGCTACACCTGCAACCAAGCCCGATAAAAACAAGCTGCTGCGGCCAGGTTCAAGTCGTCGATAAGTCATCCCTTGTACGCCAAATGTTATCGCGTTCATGGCTGCGAAGCCGGCTAGAGGTGGCAGTAAACCTTTGTACAGGCCAAAAATCTAAACAGGGGAAGCATAGAATTATTATTCCAATGTTCCCCAGTCTTTTTCAATCCTACTGTTTCGCCACGCTATCCAGTCGCTCATTGTTTTAATAGAGATGGGGGCTTAGCAGAGAGAGGACTTAATAGATATCTGTACAGGGCTCGAAATAACGTTCCCAACGTTCCCGATCACGGTGATCGGCAATCACGATTTTTTGCCGATCAAATAAAAATTTAGCCGATCAGGAGCATTTGCCCTCATGCATTTCCTTGAAAAAATTCCAAATATGCCATTAAATACACATCTAAAGAGGACGTTTAATAACTTCATTTCAAATTCAAGTTTAAATAATTAAATCTATGACATTTGTGGACTTATAT